TTCTGCTGTTTAGCGCTGCATCTATAAACAATGCTAACAATGCTAACAATTAAAGAGAAAAGGCTTCCCTATTAGCATCTCATTAGGATTACACAGACTCTAATATCTTTATCGTCAATACAGAAAAAGCTGTTGTTTTTGTTTTCCTTTTGTGTGTTAGTTTCAAATCTACACCAGATGAATATTTGGCAGAAACTTTTGCATGTTACACATATTTGCACCAGTTAAACACTCGGTTACTTCTAAAATTTAAGTTAACATAAAGGGAGTAAAAAGGAATATATCTCATGTCGTCAGTATGTCTGAGACACGTGACTGTTGGCTTCTCTAAGAGCAGAGGTCATCTGCTTTCTGAAGACAAAAAAAAAAAAATACAACAAACCCCAAAACCATATCCAGAGCCCACAGACGAGATGTAGCAGAAACAAAGAAGTGCATTCAGATAAAAAATAATAATAATAATAAAATAAAATAAAAGCAATGCATTTCTTCTAAAGAGCACTGTTTGCTTGTCCTGTTCTTCATTTCACTGTTATTGTTGTTGTTCTTTTGCTCAATGACCCATGTTTTTTTTCTTATTCTCCTCCAAATACCAGGAAGCAGTGCTGGAGAGCGAGTACGGTTCTAATATAATGACGCAAACAGTCTGGGAGGGTAAAAATGGTAACAAGGTAGCAAATAGGATGTCAGACGAGAGAGAGCCAGAGAGGAAGGAGGAGCGAGGTGAGGGGAGTGGTATTAACACTTGATGAGAAGGCAGAAGAAGGAGGCCAGCAGCAGCCACAGTGATTGAGATACAGAGACGGCACCGTTGATGTCCCGACCTGTCCCAGGTCCTGCACAGAGATAGAAGGAAGGAAAGTAAATAGATAGGAAGTAGACAGAGAGTAACATCAGCATTCAAGATGTGTCTGAGAAAACGCAAAGGGAGAAGGAACGAATAAAAAACATGTCAAATGAAAAAAAGAAAAGAAATCAAGATATGTGAATTAAAAAGACTGTTTCTCAGTACAGTGTACTTTTCTTTCATTTGACAACACTGCCCCCTGCTGTCATTTAAATGAAGTCTCACTTAAATTGCTAATCAAATAAACTCCCACATAAGGGACATAAGCATCACCATCAGGTTGCCAGATCTGCACATTATTACGTACAACTACAAAACAAGATCGAACGTTTCAATAAAGTATCGGCCCGATACCGATACTATCCATCTACAATTACAAATACTTAAACTGGTAATATAAGAAATGTCCTGGTGTAAAGGCCCAGGGCCGATGACTACTGCTACTGTATGACCTTTGACCCCTTGGTTGTGGAATCTACCCGTCTCTCAGTAATGGTTATAACCATTGTTGTAACCAAATGGGCTCAGGATTACTGCAGATGAATTATCGTTCAAACTGTTAAAAATCTGTCATAAAAAGATGAAGTCAGTCATCATTTATTTGCAGTAATTTCTCCAGGTTTGATGGATCTGAGCTCATCCACGACAAAGTTTTACGGTTACGTGACCTTCTGAATACTCACGTTAAGGTATCATTACTGCTGGGCCTTATAATGAGATATTAAAGAATCATATGCTGCTGTAAGGATGACATGGAAATAGGCTTAGAAATATTTCATTATGACTGTATAATTCAAAGAGGAAGCCATACATCAAAATGTTTTTTGGCCACAGCTCATCTGTCAAGGAGTAAAAGGTAAGAAATCTGAGCATGGAAAATGATAGAGATACATATTTAAGACAAAGTAGAGCACTTCTATTTATTTATTTTCCTACTAAGACTAGTAAGGATTAGTAGTATTATTAGATTTGGAAAATTAAAATTGGCGCCTCAACATTCCCATAGATCAGGGGTCATCTAACCTTAGGGTCATTAACCCCAGGTGCGTAGGTCATTTGGTACCAGGCCACATTGGAACACAGTGAAAAAATGTACTTCAGTTTTACTAATTGACTTCATTCAAAAATAATCCAGTTATATCCCTTTACTTTTTTCATTCAAAGATAATCTGTCAATGTTTCAAACCAACAGGTCAAAGGTCATTCAGATTCTGATACTAACAGAAGAATGTCGAGAAGAAGTTTTATTTTGAAAATTTTATGATCCTTCAACAATTGCACGGTATTACCAGTAATGGCTGATACCGGCCGACAGAACTATTTTTATGAAATAGTTCAAGTCTTCCTTCGTTAGTATTCTTCTCCACAGAGACAAAGATCACAGACAACTGTTCACCCAGCGTTCTCCACTGGTTCTAAAGTTCAGTCCTGCTGCACCACTGACTAAACACCAGACAACAATCCATACTCTACATTTCATATCTGTGGAGCTTGTAGTTCACCTTAATGAGCAGCTGGTGGAGCAGTGTTACTGATCATCACTGGATAAAGATATTTTCTTACTGAAGTGACTTCAAACATTTTTCACGGCAATACATCAAAGAATTAATTAGCGTATTATCACTCAGCAGTGCGGCTGCTCTTGACCTCGCCTGTTTAATAGTTATACTTCATCGGATTCTTTTTTTCTCTCTACAGAACAAAACTCTGCCTTCATCTTATGTGCTCTGTATTTGTAAGAAGTGAAAATAAATACTCAGATTGTTTGAGCACACTTTAGTCACGCATCGCAGAACTGCATAATATTCAATAGTGTAGAGTCATTACATTTATTTTCTCTCACTTTTTTCATCACATTATTTTAAGATCAAACAGAAATAAGCCCCAGACTGATTTTGGTTAGCAGCTACGCACTGATCCCTACTGAGTATTTTAAAGGCAAATGTTTACACATACACACACACACACACATACACACACAGGACTGCAGGGTTTTTCTGTTTAAGGTAATAAATAAATAAATAGACATGAATTTTAAAGCCTAAGCGAAGCCTTGGTACATTTTTTTAAACGTTTACTTGTATCTTATAGTATTGTTGCATCCCTACCAAAAACATAACATTAAATGCTTGAAATGTGACTTTAAAAAACATGACCAGAAGTGTTGCAGCTGTACTCACTGTAGAGGAAAAGGCTGGCATTCTGCACACCCAGTCGGTTCGAGGCCACACAGGTGTAGTTCCCATAATCCTCTTCAGTCACGTTGGCAATCATGAGAACAGTAGTCATGCCATGAATTTGGATATTAATGCCCTGGGTGTTGGACAGCCTGGAGATGAAAGGAGAAGAGAAACACATGAAATGAGGCAATATTTGGAGAAATGAGAATTTAATGGAAATTAGAAGACTCGGAGCACGAGAGAAGTCAGTGAGATTTTCAGCCAAATTATAAAGTCGGTTATTGTTGTTCAGGGATAAAAAGAGGGAAGACACTCCAGCATGTGTAATTGTTGGATGAAATACATCAAATAATTCTCATAAAGATAAAAAAAACACACATTCTAAAAATAAGGGAAGCTAACCTTTAGCCACTTTCTAACATGAGTGGTTTTACAGTCCTTTACCTAATGTCAAACAGCATTAGCTTCTGGCCGTGGACCACGTTTGCACACCCACAGACAATGCTACAAAAAATGTAAGAAAACATCGACTTTTACTTTTATTCACTTTTCAATAATTATTAAACCTGTTTAGCATAAGAAAATTATTAACAAACATGTGCTTGCTAGCTGCACACCAGGTTAAGAAGCAGAGCAGCTTGATAACATAAGTCTACACATGCCGAAGTCACTCGAGGTGCATTCAAACACCATTGGAAACTTGAGAATCCAACGATCACTGCAGTTTACTTGTTGCATGATTGAGGACAAATAGCTATAAAAAGATAAATATGTATTTTTTAAATATTTTTTAGCATCCCTCAAATTTTCTAGGGCCCCCTGGTGGCCCCTACTTTGAAAACCACTGCCTTAAACAATATTCAGTTAATATTTTTTTTTCTATGGTGATGCACAACACGCTGCCTCCAGAATGCACTGTTGTATTAGATTTCCTTCCATCAAAATTACCCTCTGCACTGCAAATGTTTGCCATGAATAAATTATAACATTTTTCAATGCAATTTTAATAACACAGATTCTGCCACCCACTAAAGACCACGAGGCCGGAGACACAGATCTATAGCCTCACATATTAATTACCAACCTTCAGAACAGTCACGAAAACAAACAACAACGGCTAATTTTAATGCCACTATTTAATGTATGTGAGGCCAGGTTTTTTAATTATCTAACACCATTAATTCAGCTCCAGAGGGAGGTGTAGGTTGTGCTGCAGCAGCAGGGTTCAGCGTCATTACAGCAGGTGTAGGAGTCAGGATCATGAGAGGACATAATTCTCACCCTGTTCCCAACAAAGCATTTTCATTTTTGACAGTTTGACACAGAGCTGCATTAACCACGGAGCAAACCTTGACCTTTGTGGGTTGGTGCACTTTTTTTTTACAAAAGACAATACTTGGGAGGGAAGGGGAGAGAGGAGGGGGGGGGCAGTGGTGCTACAGGCCTGTGCTAAGATGAAATAAACAACAGTTTGTTATTTAAATATGTCAAACTCATGTAAATGTCTCCGCCCCCCCATGACCACCAAACTTCCAGAAATCAATTATGTCAACCTCGGACTTCTTCCACAGCACATTAATCCCCACAGTTTGCTGACTCGGAGTGAACACACGTCGCTGCTGTTTCTTTTCATTATTGGAGCTAAATAAACTCTCTGAGTAACACAGCAATGCACAATAGATGCTGTGTGCTCCGTGCTGATTGGCTCCTCTGTATGAATGACTGATGTGAAGTTCATTTAAGGCGCCCCAACTTAATCCTGCTTAAGTCTGGGTAATGCAGTAACCGGAATTTGAGCAGGGGAAGGAAACGTTTATGCTGACACATCCCTTGGCTGATGGAAAGTATTAACATAAAAGGAAAATGCACATCATGGCACAGCATAATTTAGCTCGCTGGGGAGTGTGGGAGGTGATAAAGTGCTGAGGTGCTTCCCATAGGGACACCATCGGAACGGTGACTCTGTGTGTGTGTGTGCGTGTGTGAAAAAAAAAGGGGGGGGGGGAATAATAGAGGCCAAGTATAACAGCAGTGTCCTCACTCTATCTAAAAGTAACGCCCCTCCTCCACTGATAAGGCCAGCAGCAGCAGCAGCATCAGCAGCAGCAGCAGATCTTGTGCGTTTTGGTGAGAAGTGACTGTACTATTAAAAAGTCTGTCCACAGAGCTCGGCTGAGAGACTCAGATAATACACAGCACTACAGGGAGCCAAAGACAAACACTCATCCTTTCTATAGATTACGGAGAGTGATTGTAATGCAGTAGCAGGGGATAGAAAATGACCTAAACGGGTCAAGAGCGATGGAGGTTAGTTTTCACTGTGAACATTTCTCTCTGGCTCTGTTTGCACTGAAGCTGCTTTAACATTCAGCCCAGAAATGTGGAGGAAGAAAGGACAGAAAACTGGATCTTTTCTATTCTCGCAGCAGAACTTTAAATGATGGCAAACTTTGATCTGCAGCCCAGTTTTTCCCAACGCTATTATTTGGAGTTTATTGTCCATACACTAATGTTCCAGCTGACTTCCTTACCTGACATAATGGACTGAAACACATTCTGAGAAAACTTGGCAGAACATCTGCACTCTTCTTGTATTGATTTTTTTTTAGCATCCACTTACAGCCAGAGGGCAGCATTGCTCTGCTGACCGTCTTCAGTGCTGCCCGTATGATTCATGGAGACACTCTGCTACATTAAACCGGAGATTGAAATGATTTGACCCCCATGTTTAGTGGAGGGCAAGCAGTTTGTGTGCAGGACTGCAGTCGCAGGGCCGGCAGAGATGGAAGACTGAAGCAAATCATCAGAGGGACAGATTTGATTCTGTTGAGTTTGGGAGCAACTAAAATAGGTTATCACCGTCTGAGAAAGTGACAGAACTGTTATGATTCAAGGCCCACGGTAAATTAAACCGAGTGGAGGGTCCTGCTGAGACTCGTAACCCAGAGATGATTGAAACTGGTCTGCTGGCTGTGACAGCCACCTATCAGCTGGCAAAAGAAAAACCAAAAAAAAAAACAACACCCATAAATGTCTGTCACGCTGGCTGACAGCCCGTTCTGAAGTTTTCTCATGTTATAAACATGGACAAAGTGATTTACTCCAGACTGGGTCCATTTAGACGGTGAACACATCACTGTCTTTGGTCATGAAGCCATGATTGGTCCTTCTGTACAGAACGATCAGAGATGGTGGAAAATTCTTCACCGTTCTGCCAGTGAGACGAGACCCAGAGGGCAGGCAGGGTCCTGACAGCCTTGTGGTTACAGTGATCAGTCATGAACTGCTGGCCCGCTGCTTTAAGATCACAACAGGTCAGTCCACTGACGCTAATTAGTTCTATGTGGACGGCACCGTCTCTCACCTCAAAAAAAAATCTGAGACTCTGTGATGTTAAATTTCATTAATTTTTCAAAGAAAAAGTCAAATCTAACGGACGGAGGACATTAACTCTGACAGAAGAGCGACAGTAATGAGGTCGAGGTGAGTCACCACTCTTACTTATGGAAGGAAAGTTAAAAACTTTTGACCTTTTTGTAAATCTTCATTTGATAAAAATCAATCACCCCCCCCCCTTCTGCCCCCCGCCATGACCATTGACCAAAGCTGCTAGTGTACTTCAAAAAGGTACATTCTTTTCCCATTCACATGCATCACAGATTTATTTTTTAAATCCACAGACGTCACAACAATAAGTTAAAGGACGTATGTGTAACACGTCCTAACTGCTCTGGCCAAACTTCCTTTTCCTTTTGTCAAGGAGGATCTGCAACCGGAATGCTAAGAATTCTGGGATGAATAAGGCTGTGTTTTGTCAGCGCTGACAAACTAAGTGTTTTGACAACTTCAGGCCAGGAATTTCATTCAACGTTGGCTGCAGACTCTTATTATTGTAACTGGAAAGTTCATTTTGAATATGTTAAAGGGGATGATTTACAAAAAAAAAACAACAACCAAAAAACCCAATTGACATACAAAAACAGACTGCATTTGCACAATATAAAACAAAATTCTATAAACAAACTAACAAAAAATGTGTTTATCTGATCATGTTTTTAACTTAATTTACAATAATAATGATAATAATCATCATCATAATCATAACAATCATCTTCATTTTGATGCATTTGTTTTGTTATGTGCATTTAAACTCTTGAACTTTTCCGCTGACAGTTATTAGTGTGGGTGTCCTCTCCAAATGTTCATTTATTTTGACATTGTTTATGTTCACACAGCTCTGACACAGTGCTGACTCACTTTTACTTTACATTCCACTCGTGTCTTTGTAAAGCCAAAATGTAAGGAAATAAAATGTGCAGGGAAGGTAATGCAAATAGCTCTAGTCTGTTAATGTGAACACCTTAATCACTTAGCTTAGCAGCCTTGTTGGAATTATGCATTCATTTGCATTCACTTGTGTGGAGGTTAGTGCTTCAAGAGCACAACAGTAACAGCTCCTGCAAAGCTTTTATTTACTTTTACAACAGGGTGCCGTTAAAGTTTGTAACGACACTGGCTGAGTTCATAGGGGTTACTGTCGTTTATGCTACTGTCGTTTATGCTACCGTCTTGTTTTAGCTGCTTCGCCTCAGCATTAAGTTCTTCAATCAAACATAGATGTGTTAACAATTATATATTAAAGCCTCAGTTCAGTGAAGCTCCATCACACACAGCAGAGTCAAATGACCACACAGTATGCCATTCAATATTTTTGCATTAAAACTGCATCAGTGAATGCACCGGGTATAAAGAACCTAAATGCTATCTCAATCCTCCTACAGACTATGTGCGGCCAAAAGTATTTCAAGACTTCACACAACTTTCAAAGTTTAATAAAAAGTTTTGCAGTATCCGTCAAGCAAAAAGCCCCGTATCTGGCAGCTTTATTGGGATGAAGTCAAGATGACCCTTCAAAAATTCAGAAAAAGCTTGTTCGGAAGACGCCCTCTGTGGGAGGTTAGCAGACCTTTTTTTAAGTAAATTGAACAGAGTGCAAGGCCTGGGATATGGTAATGATTAGACTAGAAGATGTCAAATGCTTTTAATACATGTTTGAACTAATGCTTGGAGAGGAAAAAAAATGGATAAGAAATGATTAAATCTGAGAAAGAAAATCTTAGGAATATTCTTAAAATGATAATAATAATAATAATAAAAATAAATTCAACACCAAGTACCAATTACTGTATATATAAGTAGTAGTAGTAAATATCTATAGAATTGTACACGTGGCCTTAGACTTTTACACTGTACTGCATAACAGAAAACCCACATACTCACAGAAATTAAAGAAAAACACACAGAGAGATCTTATTCAACTGCTCTGAATATATATCTATATTTTTTAAGTTTTTAATAGCCATCAGCTCCTACCAAGTGGAAAGTTCTATAATTGCTCTGCCTGTCACTGTCACATTGATCGCACAGTGGTTGTAAATCCTTAGTCTTGGGAAAATGTATTTCTCCCTTAGTTAAAGAAGAAGAAAAAAAGCATCAAAGACACGCGTTTGTTTTAACATTCTACAGTCTTTAACATGATCCTTCATTAGCAGAAGAGAAATTAAATTAACTTCTGATGTTTTCATTCCCATGCCATATCTTTAAAGTTCTTATAAAACGATTAAACTATCGCCTTCAAAAACAAGCGTCAGTGAACACACCAGCAAAGTCCACACATCTGTATTTATGTGGCTGTTAGCCAGGGCTGTGTTTGTCATCAGCTGGCATCTTCACAATTTTTAGTTCATGTCAGCTGAGGAAAAAATAGCACGGCATCGAGGGTTAACAGCTATTATTTATGACAAAGCTATCAGCATATATTTTTTAAGAGCAAAGTACAAAGTACCCGACTACTGCATCCAGGCTTTGAGTCACTAGTAAACAAAGCTCTGTGGAATATATAACCTAAATACTGTATCTCCACACAACGACTACAAAACTGAGCTGATGTCTTGAGTTTTATTCAAGTACGAGATATTATTTAAAACTGATATAATTTGATTTTGAATCATTTCTAAAATCAATATAAACACCTCCTGGTTTCATTCCGAAACTTGAATTACTGTTAAAGGTCAGATTTATCAAGTTTTCATCTGCTGATGATCTGTTTGGACAAGGTAAAGGCCATTGTGATTAGTCATTATATGAAGAGCAAATGTCACACATTTAAACTCCAATATATTGGATGTTAGAAATAATCACAGCTTATAAACTTAGCCAATACATTTTTTTCTTCTAAACTGGAAAACTCGTAGAGACGTGAATTCAGAACCTCTTCTGATAGCGTTGTTCGTCGGTCCCCTCATGACTGCGGTTACTAATTTGCTCAAAAAGACATATTTGGGTGGTGATGTCACAAACACACCTCCGTAATTTGGTTCAGATCGACAACATCAGAAAATACTTGCAATGCTATTAATTCACAACTGATGTCTTTCTATCAAGAAAGGGATAAAACATGGAGTGATGTATACTGTATACTAAAGTATCAATATCTAACGGCAATCCCCTGGGTTGGTAGTACAAACGTTTAGCATCCTTTTGTACACTTTAGTCACTGGATGTCAAAAAACAAACAGCATCAGTTTAGAAAACACTTCTCTATCAAACATGTCATCACGTAAATAACACGACTCCTAAACTACAGACTTGTTCCCAGGCAGTCACCATGTGTTACAGCATCTGAAACTTAAATCTCTGAGACTTCGGCCTGTTTGCTGATCTGTGTACTGATGAGGTTAAACTGATTAAATGGGAAACAAGCAGCGGAGCGAGACCTCAACATAACAATCAGGTAAATAAGATCCAACTGGCTAAAGAGGTTCTTTGGGAGGATATCTATAAAATGAACTAGCCATGCAAGGATAAATGACATTTTTATGGTGCATTATCATCACCATCCAAGGAGAAAGTGCAAATGCACCGGAACCGGGGGGGGAGGGGGCCCTTGAGCAGGCACACATTCCTCCAGGGGACAAAACAAGAGAGATAGATGGAGGTAGAAAACAGCAGATAATGCAAAAATATTGCAACAACCATAAATCTTTCATTCCAAGCTCTCCCGTGATAGGGCCATAACTTTGGAGATCATATCAGTGATAACACTTGTGGCACTTCAGGAACATTTTCAATGAACTTTACTGCTGTAGTTTTAGGTGCAAGTGAAAAAGGAGATAAGGGCAATTTCCTTGTGAATTTTTATGCTTCCGGAGGTTCGGCATTTGTCTTCCAGACTCTTGGATTGGCAGAATGATGCAGGGGGTGATTTTGCAGCCGAGCACTGGTATGTAGGGGTTTTTGTGTCAAATTGAAGCGACTGTGTTATCCTTGTATGTCATTACACTTAGATCCTTTCAGAGCATGTTTCCCGATTCATGCATGTCACTTAAATTGATAGCTTTCTATTGAAAGTTTTTTTTTTTTGCGACAACACATTTTTCGAATCTTTCCCTGAGACAAGACAGTGCCGGCATTCTGATTTCCATTTCAGTGGAATTACTTGTGGTATGAGAAAAAGGATTACTGAGATTTTCATTCACTGTAGAAGCTAAATTGCTTTCAGAGAAATGTCAGATTTTTTTCTTTTTACTTTTTCTTTTCAAAAGAATGACAAAAAACCCACGGCTGTCCCCTCATATTAATGTGCAATTAAGAGTATAATAACGGCTCAGTGAGTGATTAAGTGGGTGATCAGTCATAATCAAACTACACAGATGATGCTATCGCATAACACAGCCATGTGACAATAGGACTACTGTGAGGGCAGATTGAAGGGAAGACATCCATAATAAGCAGTAGTTAAAATGACACAGAGGGCGTCTGGCACTGAGAATAAAGTGATAAAGCTGTTGCCCCGTTTGGGGATGAGGGGTAGGAAGGACCTCAGGAGAAGCCATTCTGACTCTGGGAATTCCATTAAAGGGATTATTCATTTGAAACCCACAGACATGACCTGAGGTTTATTCCTGTTCTCTGGCTGTTGTTGAGATTAATGCTCACATTCACTGAATGCTTGAACAGAGTTAGAAGTATTCAATGGGTTTTTTTTTTCAACAGAAAGTAATGTTTTCCTCATTTCAGTGCTTTCCTTTTTACAGCCTGCCACAGTGACGCCAAGCTTTTATGACTGCAGACATATCGAGTGGTGAAGTTCCAGTGTCGTACTACACACTGACGGCAGTTTCCTGAAACATGCCGAAATAATTAAAACATCTAAGAATCTCTCAGGCAGAGAGAGTGTGCATCTGAGGAGACAGAGTCTCTGTGTTACTGTGCTTGTCTTCATTAAGTTCCAGCCAGAGACTGAGGATTCTGACTGGACATTTTTACAAAGAAGACCCTGTTTAAGGGTGGTGGAAAACCAATTACTAAAATCAGCCACAGTGCAGACAAAGATGAGCCACAATTAACCTTGATTAATCAGCATTTATAAACATTTCTGTTTATTGCTGGAGCAGAACGATAAACAACAGCAAATAGATGTATGTGTTATTTGTGACTGATTCAAACAATGTAATTATCGATATGGGAAAAAAATAAAAACCAAAAAAAAAAGCAAAAGTATTTTTAAAAAAACCTTATTTGTCAATACAACAAAGCTATTTTTCCAAGTGCTCTCCATTTAACTTTAAACACTTTAAACTTTAAACACAGTTTTGATTCCATCAGAGAGTTTTCTTTGTAAGAAAAATAACTTAGGACTTTTGAGAAAAAAAAAAGCTCAAATAGGACAAGATCAAAACAGATTACAATTCTGGTTCAGATAAATAATTAGGTTTTGGGTACGATTTCACAAAAATATATTCAGTTTACGTTTTACTAAAAAACTACATCAAATCAAAGCTGTCAGAGACTCTTCAGAGAATTGTGGGGGTTTTGCGGTTGGGGGGGGACTCCCCATATAGACTATGTCCACAAGGCTCTGCCCACTTCTGTATAATAGGACTTTTTTCATGATCCTCTTGTTGTTTTGTTCTTTAGAAAATGTTACGATGATTTTGCCAGAAGTCTGCTGCTGTATAAATATGTGACTCTCATGCCTCATGATCGTGTGTCGCCCTTTGAAATTCATGAGACACACAGGGCTCGCCGAAAGCCACTGCATGGTTCACACCTTGTACGACTGTAGTACCACTTTAATCACAGCACTGTTTGTTATTTGTGTACAGTAAAACTTTTTTACGTGTCTGTAAAGCTTCTGACAAAGACTTTGATGTTTCTTCTGCTTTGACAAAGGGGTAAAAAAATCTTCATCCAGGAACCATTACTGAGGATCATTACAATGATGAAGAGGCTTCAGAGCATAAAGGTGTCAGCCTTGGTAGATAGGGTTGATATGGTTGTTTGTGATACCAGAGACTAATGGTTTGTACTTTATTCAGTAGCTTGTCTGACTGGCTTTATGCAGCCCACGTAGCTCGGCTCCTGTTTTGATTGGGCTAATTCTATTATATGATACACAGATTGAGCTTGCAAATTACCTTTTTATTTCCTTATTAGCTCGTGGGTTTAATTCCATTTGAAAAATAACCTGACGCAGCCAGATGTTCTCACATTCATCCTATTCTTTTCTGGACGAGTGGAATTATCAGATAATTGTCTGCAGATATGCAGCAGTGCCTCTTTGCAGGTGTTTGTCAGTGAAAGCTGCCGTCAAACAAATACAATTAAACGTATTGAGAGTTTTACCTTTTATCGTCTCTGTACCACTCGAACTCTGGGGTAGGCACAGCGGTGGCGTCACACTGCAGTGTTCCTAAGCGGCCCACCGGTGTCTCGGAGCTCTGGGTCCTCTTTATTGTGGGTGGGTCTGCAGGGTAACACAGAGTTGATATGTTGTGTCATAAAACAGCAGTGAGTGCAGTCGGTGCTTTTATCACAACAGGTGAAATTGACTGTCTGTTTTATTGCTGTGTGTCAATTGTGTCGAAACATAACACATTTTACACAACTAATTCTGAAAATAACATTAATAAAATAATGCATCACATGAGATGCACATTTTTCATTTTTTTGAAAATTAGTTTAGGTAAAAAAAAGGGCAAAACCCCCGCAATACAATTTAATATGCAGATGAATATAGAATATGTTCATTAACATAAAGACTGTATTAATTATACATAACCTACACAGTCACAGCCTATATAGTTGATTTGTTCAAATCAAAGAGGATTGTGTGGCTCCCATGGGTGGAGACGTAAAATCCCACGAGTGGTTCATCAGTGCTCCACAACATACGACATAAATACTCAGCTCAGAACATCAACCCTTTACAAGATGCAATTAACCATCTTGTCGTATGAGTGCCTCAGCTGCGATGACATGGTCGGAGCAAATTAGCATTGAAATCAAAGCCACAGATCTAACTCTCGTTTTTGAGAAAACAGAAGGGTTCTCCAAAAGTTTTTAAATTGCCGAGCCCCTTCATGTCTCCATCTTTAATCTGCCCAGTGCATCATCTGCTGAAAAAGTCTGACATTAAACAAGAGGGGGAATATTGATCAGTTCTGAAAGTGGCACACAGTAGCGGCGGGTGGGTGGGGGTTGGAGGTGTAGTGAGAGGGGGTCATTACTTACAGTTGACAACTACATTGACGTATTTGACATCCGGTGTGGCCACATCATTGCTGGCCTTGCATTCGTAACGACCTGCTTGGTTCCTCATGATGCCTATAATGTCCAGGTACTCTTCACCGTCCAGTGGCTCCGCTGCAGAGGAGAGGAAGAAGGGAAGGAAAAAGGGGGAAGAGACAGAGAAGGATGTGGGATTAGGATTAAGTTATTGTGTCTGTTACACTGGGGGGAAGTCATTAACTGTTCCGCTTGATTTGCTCACACAGTGTTATCATTGATTCTGACAGACATTGTTAGAAATATATCCTACAGAAATGAAAATGACTAGGAGATGAATTAATTCTACATGCATGTTGGATAATAACTGAAGACCGATAATGACCCAGCCTGGGAAATGACTCCAACCACTCAGATGAATCCATCAGTTTTATAGCTAAAGACAGAAGTCTACCAGTTCATCTTAAGAATGATGTGAAAAATGATCACGTCCAGGAGCTTTAAAATGAAAATAAATGGTTACTTTTAAATTCTATTGTTTGCTGTAGTAGTGAAGGTGAAACAGTTTTAGAAGTAAAAGTTTTACTCTTTGACTACAAAGGTGTAGAGGACTTAAAATATGCTATCCATCATAGTTGAAATGTTCAACAATGATTGGATTTTACTCAAAAAAAAAAGTTGAAAATGCATCCGTTTTCACCGTCGTGTCCCTTTTGTCACACTGCCTTGGCTGCTGCCGAATGGAGGTCATTGCTATTGCTCAGATTCACTTTACTCTCAAGGACGGAAAGTTAAAATATCTGTTTGAGTTTTTGGGAGAGAAGGAGATAAAGTATACGATAAGATACTGAACCCCTCCGGTGTTATATTCACTAGAAAGTTTTGTGCTTTGTATTGTATATCCATAGAAGGAAGTATTTGAGTAGGGGTGTGAGAAAATATAAATACGCTGATCCATCCATCCATCCATCCATTTTCATCCGCTTATCCGTTACCGGGTCGCGGGATCAATACGCTGATATATTGCTATATTTCATTTCATGATACAGTCGCGATAGTCTACAGCAATTTTTTTAAGTTAACAATTAACACGCAACAATAGTCATCAGGCCAGACTACCGTCAAATACTCATCAAAATACTCAAGGTCATTCAAATACTCTAAAACAGATGCCTATCAAGCGGCAACAACTTTTTAACACAACCAAGTGCTGTCAACAAGAGTTGTGTTTTCCTACTGCAGTCCAGTGTCTCACTGTCCTCATGGGATGTGCACTTAAATAGGTCAACAATGTCAGCAGTTTAGAGATACTTTAACATCAGGGACGAAGACAGGAACAAGACGTACTGTGGGATTTGTTCTGTTATGATGCAAGTACATTCATAAAACACATGAAGACATGCTGCAGAGCTGAATAAGCTAATGTCTCCTATACGTTCCAGTGGGAAAACAAGGCGTTTATGCCTCCCCAAGTCAAGACTTATTTAATTAAAATTTTGTGTTCATTTGTATATAGACACATGGAAATAGTTCTGTTCAGTTCAAGTGACCCAACCCAACCCAACCGAAAGTTATATCGCTGATTGTATTCGGACTCGGCGAGTTAAAATAAAAAATAAAAAAAATAATTAAAACAATAAAAAACTTGAATTGATTAGTTATGATATGTTAAAAATGTTTCACAGGCTAAATAAAGATTTTTCATGTAGTGTTGTGTCTCCTGGTAATCACTGTGTCCTATGAGCGTGCCATTGAACAAGCGTTTTGCTTAATGTTTACTGACACTTAGATATTGCAGGTTAAATTAAAGAGAAATTAACCACGATCTTTAGCATCTCAGCTAATGAGCGATGAGTCAAACCCAAGGCTGACTGACTGCGATTGACAGCCTGAGTCCACCTAATATCCAGAAACTTGTAAAACTATTAGCTGTTTGTGTAAATGCTCCAATTACCGGCAGAAAAATACCTGTGAATGTCAGCGGAAACATGGGAACACAGTGGGAAACACAGAGACGATCAGACAGATATCTGACTAATTGTTTTCCGGAGAATTCCAGCTGATTTGGCACGTAAAGAACACAGCACCTGGATGTCTCATTAGCAAAGACCTCATTTGTCTTGGTGAGACAGAGAGAGGAAGAGTTGATATACTGTAAACAAATTTGCTGAACGTGTCCGACAACAGAAGAATTAATTCCAGTGGTAAAGTGATAATTAATTACAAGAATATCACAGGCAGGATGTTTACAGGAGTCAAACCAAAACAAACCCGTATTTCGACCCAGTTTGTAATCACTTTGATTTATAGATTTGTTTATAAAAGTCGACATAGCTTTAGTGGATTCTCACAACAAAAATTCTTTAAAAAAAGTTATTAAAATTTTTGGATTCACAAAAAAAACAGCAGTCCTTCTGCTGCTGGTTCCAATCTTGTGAGTGTTGTGTGAGGTGTTGTGAGGGACCCCCCCCCACACACACACACATACACACACTTCCCCAACATATTACCAAAGTACAGTCCATTGCTTTTCTTTGTCTAATGTTAATGATGGGATGTTTTGAGATGGGATCCATGCAGGGTGTGATTTCTCATCCTGTACTGACAAAAATGTACAAAAACGTTTCTAATTGGAGAAGGGGCTAAAAAGCACAACTGTAGGATTTCATTCTGGCCCTCTGAAGAATCTTGGTTTGTTTTTAACTAGTACCCAACCCTAGGTTGGGTTGCTTTAGAAAGGGCTTCTGGTAAAACAAAAATATATGACGACTCTGATTGAAGTAACACGCAAAAAGCAAACTTTTTGCTTTCATTATATAAGAAAATATCAACTGATCAAAATCCAGGCACATGAAATACATTGTAGAGACACTTCCAGGATGTGTCGTTTGTAACAATAGTGAATGTCTGGAGTATCAGTCACGAAAAATGTTCGTACACAGCACGAGGCTGTTAAATCCTTCGGAAGAGAAACGCTGTGAAGCAACAACCTTGGGGCCCTGTGATATGGGTGGCTGGTTAGAAAACAGCTGTTCTGCCTGGGTTAACACATATTCAGTGAGAGCCGCAACATTTCACGCCCGCAACAACTGGTAACAACACCTCCACAACACCAGGACGACAGAAACAACGCATCACAACTACACTGGAAATATCTGCAGAAGTAAAGTTGAAAAAGAAAAAGAAGAAGAAGAAAAAAAACCCCTGCAGAATGGAGATGGAGACCAGTGAATACTGCATTAGACCACGATGATTGAAATATCAGCAGGATCACGATCAAAGGCCAAAAGCTGATCAGACTCAGCTCTCCCTGGACTAACTGCCAGGATATCATGATTGGAGCGGTGTGATTGAAAAATCTGTTGCCATGGAATTGTTATTGAAGCATAGTCTCTTCGCCTGTGCTGTGCTTTGGTGCCAGTTGAAAAGAGGGAAGATGATAGACAGAGAACGATGGACACAGAGACAGACAGACAGACAGACAGATAGAGAGAGAGAGAGAGAACATACAGAAAAGGTGGAAAAACAAACAGCATCAACACTAAATCGTTTGTCAAACTCGAGGGTCGTGGTCCAAATCAAGCCCAACATGCCGTTTTATCTGGCTCATCAGAATTTAACATGCATATGGTTGTCTTAAAATCAAAGTCTGCAGTCAATACTAATGTTGACTGAACAGGTTGAATGCAATGGTAAAAATGAATGGATGAGAATGGGGAGAGGGACCTAAATGAGGAGATAGCAGCACAGGGGAGAGGCAGCGCCACCTTATCAACCACTATACTCAACCAAAAATAATTTTGAAATTAGTCAACCTGTTTGGCTATTTTGAAAAAATGAAATATCCCACTTTGAATGTGTAACAATATTCTTATTTTGCTTGCTGATGCTTCTTTATTCATGAAAAGGTTTTCAATTCATTTGAATTCTTTATTTCAGGTTAAAGCAACTTCCGCACCAGAATCTTATTAAGCATTAATCTACGACCCGCTAAACAGAGTGTGTTTTAAATCTCGTCCCCCTTGAGTTATTGGGTCAGATGTCCCTTGACTAGACGTCTCACTGCAGGATTATCGGTGATCCACACACATCTACAGAGAGCGACTTTATCATGACGGATAAATGAGACGTGACATATTGTCTGATAAAACAAACGACTATACAATACATCTTCTCACGTCTTTGTCTTTGTCCTCAGGAGAATACAGCTGTCTGCGCATGATGGTAATAGTGTCAGTTATCTCTTTAATTGCGTGGGATAATTTGGTGGTGTAAAGGGAACCTGTGTGGAATGGAGTGTTCAGTGCAGACAATCTGTGAGCTGTAGGACACCAGGGTTTAAACACTAGCAGCAGGTGAGTGCACAATGGTCTTGAAATGCAGATAAAAGGGAAAAAAATGCACACTACACTGGCAAATACGAAACCTGCAACAGTGGCATTTCTAGGAGCTAATCCTACGTCTGGATTAATGGACAGTGATGTTTGAAATCCAGGGTCAAATGTGAATTATCTGATGTTGCACCTCCTAAGAAAGGCGGCAGTAAAAAGTGATTCCTCAGTGGAAACTTACTTGGGGTATAATTAAACATTTATCTTCCCATCTCTGAGACTTCAGCCGTATAGAAACACACATAACACATATTACTGTACTAGTAAGTGGACTTGCATCAGGAAAGACGCAGGTTTGAATCCACCAGGTGCCAATGAGGATGGCACCATGTTCACACACTGCTCCCTGCTCACTATGGTGGGTGGTAAAAAGCAGGGGACAAATCTCGTTTTACTGTGGATCAATGACAATAAATCACTTTGACTAAATAGATGCTACAAAAGACGCAACCATTTTCCTTTTCCGTCTTTTAACCGACTTGTTTTTTTCATTTTTGCCCGCCTGCCGTCTATTAACATGTCAATTACATTTACAAGATTTCAATAGTCTTTAAAGAGATTATTGCTCTACTAGATTAATAATTAAAATAAATCACACCAAATGGTCTTTGGTATAAAAGGTACTGTTAAACCCATTTATGATTAGCTAATTGTTTCGTGTGACGTTAACGACCCCACAGAGCCTAACAGAAGAATTATTGAGTATCAAAGTCTGACACTGAACTGTCCCTCACACCTCATATTGAT